TTTTAACCTTCCATAATGAAAATCTTTGAGTTTTTCAATGCAATCTTCATCTTTGTCTTTAAGCCACTCTACTAAGATATTCTCCATACCCCATAGATTTTTTTCATCATGCTTGATAGTATAGGAGGTGACTTGTTGAATTAAAGTTGATGATTTGACAAGGGTAGCCACCTTTTTTCTCTTTCTTCACTATTCACTTTTGCAACTTGCATTAAATAATGATTTCCTTTGATCTTTGGGTCATTTTCGTGGGAATTGATGTAAAAATGTTCATTGTCAATATAAACATCACAAATGAGGCTTAATCTTTGATTACCATCGATTTGGAGAGGTTTTGGAATCAAAAAACTCATGCTGACCTGGTTTTGCCAATGCGAGTTTTTGCCAACTTGTGGACCTCGGTTCTCTCTAACCAGGAAGAGTTATGGAACACACTTGTACTTTTTAGAAAGCCCCAATTAGGTACTACAATATTTATGTTTGTTTTAGGAACCCATTCCTCTTGAAACTAGGTCAAAAACCCTTGTGTGGTTAAGGAGTTATGGCTTTGCCCTTTTCAAAACCTTAATTCCCCAACGTTTCGATTACTTCTCAATTCTTGATCAATTGGTCACAAAACTTCATGATTAGATATTAAATTATTTTGGGAACATATTTGGCTTCAATTTTGGGTTAAAACCCTATTGTTCAATGGGTTGACTTTTAAGTCAGACGAACCGAACGATCAAAAACCTCTGAATTGACTGTTGGTGTCGTGGGTCTTCTGAGGCCTTGAAACTTCTTTAGTGGACTTCCCTAATCCATATGAGCTTCATGGAGCATAACTCTATCATTGGAACACCGTTAAATCAAAAATCAAACCACAATTGACTTTTTATGATCAGAAACCCTAATCGGGGATCCTGAACTACACTGTTCCTAATCTTTGTGTGAAAACCTCAAATTGGACTCATGTTTGACCCAATGGAGTATCTTTGATGATGTAGAGGATTGTTTCATGGAGAATCAATCCAATACATTGACTGATTAAATTGTCAAAACCTGGATTTCCGACTGTACGGAATCCTGGTTCACCTGTATCTTAACAAAGACAAACTTGAAATAGATTAAGGTTAGATAAACAAATAAAAATGATCCTAGAATGATGATGAAGATTTAAGGGGTCAAAATTTGGGGTGCAACACATACGACAAACTTTGCACAAATCATCATCACTGGGCCCACTTTAGTAATTAAGTAAATTTTTATTGAAGTGGTTATTGTAAACTGAATTGAACCATAAATGTGGTTTAGTTCAGTGCAGTTCATAAACCACGAACACACCTATCATGAACAATCAACTACATATGAAATCATGTATGCAAATGTACACCACAACAACCTCAGTATGAATGTGGTACCAATCATGAACACTCAGGTCATCTCGCTCTTGAGCACACCAAATCGTTACCATCACCATAGGTAGTGCTTCAACGATTTCCACCTAAAACCGACTACTTGATCCGTATCCCCACCATAGGAGCATACCAAAACTCTTTACCATCACAATAGGTAACGCTTCACTAATTTTTCACTAGAATTATCTACTTGCTCCTAATCCATACTACCATACCAAAGCACACCAAAATTGGAGCAAAGTTCATACACTATAATGCATGACTCTCAACAACATGCATTTTTACCAAAAGGGTCACCAAAAAATTAGCAAGCACATATCACCATTTATGCACGACCTTATTCATCATGCATAATAATTAATTAATGTTACAGCATCAATAAACAACAACAAATATGAACAACTCAATAATGGTAACATGATAAGCATTCATTCATGCCACTTCACCAAAATAATAATACATCATTGTATAAACATAATGATTCACTAACTGATCATACAAATAATCATAAACATTCCTACAATATGGAACCCTAAACCCCAAATTTTGATCTCTAACTGTCCCAAAACCTACCATACATCATTGTACATGAAAGCATGTGTATTTTTATCATCTCTTAACATCTAAGTCAACAATACATCATTTACCTATGACTAACATGCACTTCATTCAATTCATGTTTACCCCAAAACCTTCCAAACCCTCAAACATGGTGGAAAACATTCATACCTCAAAATTAAAAAATAGTACACATGTAGGCACGCGAAATTCATCATTACAACAGGCAACAACATTAAAACTTCATAGAAAATTCAAAATCAATCACATCCTAATTTCCTCTAAAGAGAGTAAGGACCTCTCATCTCTACCTTTCATGCAATACACCCAGATTAGTAGTCCTTTCTCCCCCTTATTTTAGATTTCCAACAATTGATGGTGAATCAAGCAACTTTTATGGCTTCCCTTTTCAAAGTCCTAATTTTCCTCTTTCTCTCTTTTTTGCCCCTTGTCTCACTTTTCACGTACTGATGAAACTAGGCTAATTTTCTCTTACTCCCAATATATACTTAGGATTTTCTATACAATTCATTCCAATTATCTCATTAACCCTTAATTTTTTTAACTCACCAAATTGCCCCAACTCCCTAACTCCTTGCTACCTCTATTTCTCCGAATTCACATAAATGACCTAAAACTCCTATTTTACTATTTTATTTAATTAATTAAAATAAAATACTATTTATTCTAATAATTAAATAAAATTCCAACAACTTTAAAAAAAACTAAACCAATCTCTTATCTCTCTATACCTCTATTCCAAGGATACTTACCCCCCACAATTACATAACAATAATATTAAAACACCAACTAATAAAATAAATTCAAAATAATTCAATTAAATTAATTAATCGAATTCGAAGTGTTACAAATCTCTCCCACTTAAAAAAAATTAATGCAATAGTCGAATCAACTTAGCCTATTCAAATGTAACTGCATTTCAATGCGACATTAAACGTTTGAGAGCAACTTTACTACATGTTTCACAAGAAATTTATTAACATGTCAGGCATTCCCTTTATCTCTGGCATTCATTAGTATTATACATAAAAACGTAAAACAAAGATGCAAATTATTCAAACATAAAAATAACTCCATTCTTCATCTTAATAATAACTCCATTATCATATTCTTCTGGGTCTTCTTTTTCTTCACACTCAACCCATTCTTCATCTTAATTCTATTCACTTTCCTCTTCTTCATTATATTCCTCTTCTTCAGCGCGGCCCTTACAATCACTTCTTCTACGTCCACTTGCTTCGCCTTTCTAATCATTTGGATAAAATGGCATATTCATAGGCCACTGTAAATCATTATCAAACTCCTCGCGTGCATGTAGATGATCACATGGAGAATGAGGTTCTTGAATCTGCAAATCCAATCTACTCATAGAATATTAAATGGCAAGCAAACCTTTATGTTATACAACATTAATATCCCATGCATGAGTAAAATAGGTCTCCAGATTTTGATTTACAGCATCCAGGTTTATAGGTTCTTGGTTATGTTGTTGGTGGAATGGCTGGAAGACTATGTATTCTAATTTTTCTTGGTATACAATAGTGTTGAACAAAGTCTTCGTCCATATTTGTGCCTAGGACTTGATGGTGGTAATATGAGAGTTGTACTCCAAACATTCTGCAAAGTGCAGTATTCAATCTCGAGAAGGCTAAAGGAGGTTTTGAAATTGAGTGAACAATCATCCAAATTCTATATGAGATGAGTTTTGAAATTTCATCTTGTTTATTTGCTGTGATTATTACATAAAGAACATCTAGAAACCACAAGCACTCCTCTCCTAAACAAATTATCATTTATTGTAATTATATTGTGTATCAATTTCAAAATCACTAAGGACTTAGTTGGTGGCAAATAAATATTCCAAATTCTTTTAGGCCACAAAATGTTTGGAATAATCACATAAGCATAAGCATGATTGAAATTTAATTCACCATTATTTCTGTCAGTCCATATTTGCTTGTCATCCTCCACCTCTGTATAAGGGACTTGTACATCCAAAATAGATATGGAAATATCAGGTGCATATTCTTGAATTATATTAAGAATGTTCAAATTATTATTGTGTATAATATTATTGAGAGATGTATTTTGCAGATGTTACAATTCTGCATGGAGCACTAGGTGCATATCCTCAATCATGTATTCCAACCATTTATTTGACAACAAATTGATCTCCCCATCATTACCAATTTTCTTGTAGGTATGGTCCTTAGTAAATGTTGATTATACTTGAATCCAATCCATAATTAGGACGAGATATAATGACTCACTAGTATCCTGCCCCTAAAGTATCTATTCTTTAAAGAAAGACTATGGATTCAGAAAGAGATTGACCATACAAATATGGGCAAAAGATTCAAAGGGAGACCTAATTGCTTTTCTCATTAGGGTTTTATACACTTTTAGTTTATTTTTATGCACTTTTATTATAGTTAGAAAATAACTCAATTACTCTATGCGTACCCTCAATCTATATTATGTATTTTAGGTACATAAATACAAGTATGATGGGAGTATGAACAAGTGTGGTCATTCTTGGAAAATTTTAGGTTTCATTGATCCTTCCGGTGGATATAGTGTTTCAGATTAAGGGAGTGTGAGTAGTCGTGAGAATAATATTCTAATGGCTAGTTTGTTTGTTATTAAATAATAATAATAATAATAATAATAATAATAATAATAATAATAATAATAATAATAATAATAATAATAATAATAATAATAATAATAATAATAATAATAATAATACATTGTTGATGTAATTTTACTTTAAATATATTTAAAATTATTTTTTCCATTGTTATCTTTATTTTCATGGCTCAACTTATTTTAGAACTAAAATTGTTTATGAATAACCTTTTAATAGAACAACCCAAAAATAACCCCTAATTTAACGCAATTAATTAAGGAAGTGTCATCGACTCCAACATCATTTTTGGCTCATGATTTTGGTTAATTTGTTGATGTTGAATGACCATTGTCAACCTTGATCTTTATTTTGATTACTTTTCCTACAAGCAATCAATGGATCAAGGAGAACTTACACGAATTTTTCAAATGTTCGATAAAAATGGTGATGGTCGCATTACAAGAAAAGAACTCAGCGACTCATTACAAAACCTTGGGATTTGCATCTCCGAACAAGATTTGATCACAATGATTGAAAAAATTGATGTAAACGGAGATGGTTATGTTGATATTGACGAATTCGGCGAGTTATACCAAACAATAATGGATGATAAAGATGAGGAGGAGGATATCAAAGAGGCATTTAATGTGTTTGATCAAAACGGCGACGGTTTCATATCAGGCGAAGAATTAAGTGCGGTGTTATCTTCTTTGGGATTAAAAAGTGGAAAAACTTTAGAAGATTGTAAAAACATGATCAAGAAAGTTGATGTGGATGGTGATGGAATGGTAAATTTGAAAGAATTTAAACAAATGATGAAAGCTGGTGCTTTTGCTACCGATTCATTAAGTTGATGATGCATGATAAAAGGTGTGTAAGTTTATTTTCTCTTTTATGTTTAGATGATTTTTTTTCCACATAAAAGAAGAAATTAAAATACCCATTGTAGAATAATATGTAACATGTTCCAATGGAAAGGGAAAGAAATAATGTATGATTGGTGATTATATTTGATGAGAATTTCTCAACTTTTGGTAAGGTTGATTCATTTATTCCTCAGTATTTTTCCAATCTATATATCTTGTTTATGAGTTGAAAACTTTATATGGAAAAGTGGCATACATGTTCATTTTTTTTTCTTGATTTTTCTTCATATTGATGTTATACTATTCAACTATGGTATTTAACTTATTCTTCTAAATACAATTCAAAATTCCAACTCATTGCAATAATTTTTCCAAATTCAGTACAGATAAAATAAGTTCTTGTCTAAAAATTCTAGACATATAGTGCAAACTTATTTATGATAAGGATTCATCACACTCTTAAACTTTTTTTCTTATCCTCAAAGTAAAGGGAAAAACTAAGATAAAAACCATGGTCAAGCATACTAACCTCTAAACACAAGTAAAAATTAACTCTGAAATATTTCTCTTTTTCATTTACATTTGCTTACTCAACTTCCATTTTGATTCTCATATATTTCAAGTTATACTAATTTGAAGGGTAATTTCGCAACAATTATCAAGACTCAACTCTCACTTTACATTTTTTGGCAAATGCCTCTTAAGTGTTTATACAAAGTTATAACTCAATTTAAAAACATGTGTCACTCTAACTTAATCTTGAAATAATCTTATACAATAAATCAATATGCAACAAAAACAAACATTATTGGAGATGTTTTAGGTTGTAAAAGAGTTTGGGTAAATGTGTGATAATTTGGATAGAAGGCTAATTGTTTAGAGTTAGATGCCTACTACTAAATTTGTTATTCAAATATCCTTTTGTGCAATGCCTTTTATATGGTGACAAATGTATGAATTGATTTCAAGAAACAAATGACTACTAACCCTAGATTTTAGATAACTGCTCAATAGGTTATTACTTTAGACATATTAAATCATCATATGATAATGCAAGAAATAATCCTCTTATAACTTTTGATATCTATATCTATATGATATATTAAATCTAAAGTGGCACATTATATTATGACACATGCTAACAATTCTACTCCATTTGTGCCAAATCATCCCATAGTCTTATATGGCACATCTAAAATCTTATTTTCACTCTTCAAATAATATATATATATATATATATATATATATATATATATATATATATATATATATATATATATATATATATATATATATATATATATATATATATATATATATATATATATATATATATATATATATATATATATATATATATATATATATATATATATATATATATATATATATATATATATATATATATATATATATATATATATATATATATATATATATATATATATATATATATATTACTTATTCTTTATTGGAGGTCACGGGTTCGAACCTTTGGAAAGACGGAATTTTTTCTCATATTTAACAAAAATGGTCTAACAAGACAATCACTATTCCAACCATCTTTATTCTTCTAAATTTTAAATCTATATCTATATCTATATAATAATATATTAAATACAAAACGACACATTATATTATGACACATGCTAACAATTCTATTCCGTTAGTGCCAGATCATTCCATAGTCCTATGTGGCACATCCAAAATCTTATTTTCACTCTTCAAATAGAAAAATATATTACTTATCTCTATAGGAGGTCATGGGTTCGAATCTTAGAAAAGACTCTATTGGAGGTCAGGGCTCGAACCTTGGGAAATACGAAATTTTTTCTCATTATTAACAAAAATGATCTAACAAAACAATCACTATTCAAACTATCTTTATTCTTCTAAATTTTAAATTTTAAATAGACATGTGATCCTAAAAAGTATAATAAAAATATTGAGAATAATGTCTAAAAAAAGAACACTCATATTTCAATTGATATTAAAGAAAAATTAGATAAATTTTTACAATCACATTAATAAAATTATAATAATCATTTTAAAAACAATTAAGGTACTATACAAACTAACATTTTCAACCCTTTATTCATTAGATAACTAAAGTTTGACAAAAGTAGATATCAATTTTATAAATATAATAAAATTTTATTTAATAACATTTGCAAATAACCTTTTAATTTTATTTAACGTTGGGAATACACATCTTGAACGGCTTACAATTTAATGTACAAATCAAAAATAACTATTAAAAAGACATGAGAATCAAAATAATTTTTTAATTTAGTTATTTAAATTTGCAAAGCTAATTAAGAATGTCATTCTCAATTTACAATCATATATTTTTATTTTAAATAAAATATATATTTTCATATGTGATTAATTCATATCCTTGTCTTAATTATAATTCAAAATAAATTATTGTAATATAAATTTAATAATCAGGTTTTTTCAAAATTATTTCTTAATATATTTAAAATTCAATAAATAAATAAACTAATTTATAATTGTGCATCGCGCGGGTTTTAACCTAGTATGAGACATTGAAAAATGTAATTATAGAAATAAGTAGTTGAGCCATTACATTGTTCTTAAATTATTTTTCTAATTTATCATATTTTTATAGAAACAATAGTAGTAACTAGAACACGATGACAAAGTAATGTTAAAATTGAGGATTCAAATAATCCTAATGTCTTATATCATTGAACCATATACCTATTTTATTTCATTTATTTTAGTTTTAAATGAAAAGAAACTCTTAAATTATATTCCTAAAAATACCCCTTCTCCATTTTACTATCCTAAGTAACATATAAATGGTTTGAGATTGGAAATTAAGAATAATCCCTTAATAACCAAGAGATGAGATATTGAAATATTTTAATAATACATTCATATATTAATATTCTAATAATTATGTGGTCAAATATACTTATTTATTATATTAGCTATTTTATCAATTAAGTGTTTTTAAATAATTAAGTGATCAAATAATGTTAAAAATGCTATTTAGATTTTATTTATGAATTATTTAACTAATTAATTAAATAATTGGGTATGAACTCAAATATGAGTGGATGTCAGATGACCCATTTGAGAATAATGGGAAACTTAATTGACCATCATATTGTATATGGACTATGACCTCCAATATACCGTACAACAATCAAATTATCTCTTCTCCCCATCTGAAGAGAATTCGAGGCATAAGGTGTACTGGTTGAGGAAGAACCACAAAAGGCAACAACTTCTGGGTTTAACATTACTATCATTTTTCTTAATGGATCCAGGTATTCCTAAAATCAATTTCTCAATTCTTTATTTTTATACATGTTTGATTTCCGCGTCTAAATAATAATTTCTTGAGCATGTATATTTTGATTAATCATTATTAATCTAATTTCAACAAATGGTATCAAAGTTTAGGTTATGATTAAATTATTAATTCACATGATATATTATTATGTGATTTTTATTGAATATATTGTTCAAGTTTTTATTGTTATCATATGGGGAGAATTGTTTACCGTAAGGTGGATTTTTAGGCAGCAGGATGATGAGGGTTCCCTTCCCCTCTCATCAGTGTCAAGGGTTTTAGAATTTTAATCCTATTTTTTTCTTCATGTTTTACTATGTTTTATATTTAAGGTAAATGGGGTTTTCTCTTAACCCTTTTGGCCTTAATTTATGATAATATCTCAAAAAGCGTTGAGGTTGTTATAATATGAGTTATATATACACATATCATTGTGAATGTGTGACCAAATGGGATTTAAGAAAACCTCATTTGTTGAATTGATAATGTTTAACTATATCAATTTTTTTTTATGAATTCAACTTAATTTTTTTTTAATTGTGAGACAAATTTAAATACTAATATTATTTTATTAAGAAATTTTTTTATGAGTGTTAATTTAATTTAGAATTTTTTTAACACCCTTCGAGTACAACCAGTTTATCATTTCGGTATGTACATAATATAAAAACAATTATGTATTTAGTTTTCCAGTTTAAATTATGCGATTATTTTCGTGCATAATTTGAATAATTTAATAATCATTTGATTATTAAACAACCAGTAAACATACAATTTTAACATTACATTTGTTGGTAATGTTTATGTAAATTTTAAAGACCTTCCCATTTAATTTATTAAATTAAAAATGTCTAGTAATTTTGGTTTAGTGGGTCGAAACAATAAGTTGTAAAAGTAATATATGTTGTGTAAATTTGATTAAATCAAAATCACAAAAGATGGAGTGTGTAATTATTCATGCAAACTGTTATGGTTGGCCAAAAGGAAGATACAGTTTGACTAAATAATTGCATATCAGTGATGGTAAATATGTAGTAATTATTAAGTTTATCCATGTGGTTGATAATTGATGTAAAAATGTCAAAGATTTGGAATTGATGGTGTTTTTGGTATCTTGTTCTGGTCTTATTTAATTTGCATATAAACAATATTGTACATGTCTATTTGACATGCCTACTAAGGTTGTATGATTGTTGTTCTTTTCAATCTCCAGATGTCGCTGCTACCACTTTAAATTTTGTTGCTTACATGAACTTTATCCCTATGGTGAGTGAGATGAACTTCAAGTCTTGAAAAAAATATGTTGAGATCATTCTTGGATGTAGGACTTAGACCTATCCATAAGGAAAGAGCATCCCATAAAAATTACTGAGAACCCAAAAGAAACCTGCGAGAAATTTTTCTCAAAAAGAGAAGGCAAAGAAACAACCTAAGGTTCTTGTACAAAATGGTTGGACACATGAAGAAAGAGTGTTCCAAGTATGTCGCATGGCGTGAAAAGAAGGGGTTGCCTGTGGAGCTGTCCGCCAAGTGATGCTAAAAGATTCATCTATGTGGGAGATGACAATAAAGTTGCAGTAGAGACTATAGAGATTTTTAGATTATTATTAAAGATAGGTTTTCATTTGGATTTGATTAAGACTTTTGTTGCACTGTCTATTAG